TGTACTTCCAGCCTAGGTAAATTGGGGAGACTCAGTCTCAAAACAAAATATAATTGATCACAGCTAAGTACTAATTCTCAGTATCAGTTATAGCGCCCAATTAAAAGGGCAAAGTGACCTTGAATATATACAAAATAAGCACCTTTCAAATGAGAGGGAAAGGAGGGAATAAGCATTTATAAAGCTCCTACTTTGTATCAGGCACTGTGCTAAGCACTTCTTAAGAAAATTTATTTTAAACTTAAACACTAAAACTTGAATACACAATAAGAAAAGAAACATAAACTTAAATACAAAATAAGAAAAAGAAAAAAAGCATTGCCATGTGCACAGCACAATGTAAGAGAGGATTCATAATACACAGCAATACATTTCCATTTCAACAAAGCCTATATAATAAATACTACACCTTGTGTCCAGAGCTGTCCGTCTTTTTTTTTTTGCTTCCTCATAAGTTTTCTTTTGTTTTCCACTGTGCACTTGTGCTAAGCACTTTTTACAAATACCATCTCAGCTGATCTTTATGTAAACCCTGGGAGGTAGGTGCTATTATTATTTCTATTTTACACATGTGGAAACTGAGGCAGACAGAGGTTAAGAGGCTTACCCAGGATCTCATACACAGCTAGTGAGTGTCCAAGGCCATATTTAAATTCAGATCTTTCTGATTCCAAGCTATCTCCAAGGATCTCCAGTACTTCAAGGATATTTAGTGTAGGTACTCACTCCCTGACTGAGAGGGTCTTTGACTTGCTCAGACTCAAAATTTATCCCCCTACAGTAAACCTAGTGATGAGTGTCTCTGAACCTAGCCAGGCTGGATCTCAGAAGAAGACATGTGCAGGCCATCACTAGACCTAGACTGAAACCCTTTCCAGCTTGGTAGCTATAAACTGATTCCTACCAGGGACAAAGCTCTGTCAGGGTGTTTGCTCTACCATGTTCTTAAAACCCAATTTTGTTGTTTGTCAGAGGGACTATGGGATGAGAAACACACTAGCACATTGTTGGTGGAGCTGTGGATCAGTAGAACCATTTTGGAAATCAATTTGGAATTATGCAAATAAAGTGACTAAAATGCCCATATCCTCTGACCCAGAGATTCCACTAATAGTCTTATATTCCAAGGAGGCCACTGGTAAGAAAAAAGTCCTCAAATATACCAAATATATATAGCAGCACTTTTTGCAATGCTGGAAACAAAGTAGATGCCCACTGATTGAGGAATGGCTATGTAAAATATGGTATGTTAGTGTAATTAGAATATTACTGTGCTGTAAGGAACTATGAATGTGATGAATACAAAAAATGGGAAGATTTACATGAACTGACAGAGAATGAAATGGGCAGTCAAAAAATTAATGGAAAACAACATAAATGGAAAGAACCACACACACAAGAAAATCAAGTGAAATTACAAAGCAAAAGCATAGCTCAAAAAAAGAGATGAGAGAACACCTTCCCCCACTTCTTCAGAACAGTAGGAGGTTCACAACTGTTACACATCGTACATATTTGTAGATTTTTTCTGACGCACTGATTAGTTATGCTGATTTTTTTCCTTGGTTTTTTTTTTGTCTTTTATAAACATAGTATTTATTATCTGGGATGGCTTTGTGAGGGAGTAAAGGGAAGGATACTGGAGAAAATTACAGTGATATTAAAAGAGATATCAATAAAAACTTACTTTGAAACATTAAAAAAACCGTGAAGCAGTGTGATCACAAGATCATAGATTGTTAGCTGAAAGGGACCTCAAAGGCCATCTAGTCCAAATCTCTATTATTTTATTAAGACATAGCATAGAATAAGGGCAGCTAGGTGGCATGGTGGATAGTGTGCCAGGACTGAAGTCAGGAAGACTCATCTTCCTGAGTTCAAATCTGGCCTCAGACACTTACTAGCTGTGTGACCCTGGACAAGTCACTTTACCCCACTGACTAGCAAAAAAAAGAAAAAAAACACCTGAGCACCTTCAGGAAAAAATAGGGAATTTGGGAGGAGTGGTTGTTTTAAGGAGGAAAGTTAAAATGACTTTCATCTTGGGCACAAGTTTCAGATTCTAATGGTTCCATCACGGGAGATGTGCAGCAGGCAGCTTGTGATGTGAGGCTGGAGTTGGGGAGAAGGGCTGGACATTGAGATATGGCACACACCTGCATGGAACCAATGGTTAAATACATGGGATGATGAGATCACTAAGAGAGAGAGGGTAAAGAGAAAAGAGGGCCTAGGACAGAGCCTACTGCAAGCCACCCCTACTGAACGGATGGAAGGTGGAAGATGATTGAGCCAAGGAGATGCAGAAGTGGTGGGATGGGAAGGAGAACACAGAAAATAGCAGCATGCAAGTTAAGAGGAAGGAGTATCCAGAAGAGGATGGTCAACACTGGGATAAACTGAAGGGAGGTCAGGGAAAAGAAGAACTGAGAACAAGGAGACCAGGGATTTAAGAGTAGAGGATAATTTACATTGAACAGGTCAACTTTGAGGGTGGTGGGCCCTCTCACGATCCTAGCTCCTGGGGAACCTGAGTGCTGGCTCATCTCTGGAAATACAGTGGGCTAAGCCAATCAGGTGTCCAGACCAAGTTCTGAATGAATGTGGCAAACCCCTGGGAGTGGGATAGGGGAAAGAGTGGGAAAGGGATGGGGCACTAGGTTGCCTAAGGAAGGGCAAACCAGCCTCTGATGTGGAGCAGATCAAAGCTCTAAAGGCAATCCAAGGGAGATCAGGCCCACAAGTAAAGTAGCCCCTCCCTGCATTTCTAGCCTGGGTAAGATAGGCATACCCAGTCTTTAAAACAAAACAACAAAATCAGAGTTAAGGCTGTGGAGGGAGGAAAGAAAGCTTGGAGCACGGATGACAGAATGGGATGTTGAAGGGACTACAGGTCACAGTGATGGCAGAATAGGTTTAGGAGTAAGGTAAAGGGAGAGATGAAAGTATAGATCAGGACAGAATTTCAAAATTCTTAATCATATCAACAGAACAGATATGGATGTTGATGAGATCAAAGGTATGATAACCAGCCCTATGTGGCCAAGGTGGAGTGAAGAGTAATGTGAGTTTAACAGGAGCTTGATTAACTGGGACACATCAGGATATTTGAAGGGACACCACCATGTATTTTAAAATCCTGAAATTTGAGGGCAGGTGTTGGGGAAGAAAGGAAAACTGGGAGATGGCTACAGCATTTGGGGTTCCAGACCTGGCAACACAGACAGATAGAATGAACCTCAAAAACAGATAGAAGGAACCTCAAAATAGTTTTGTTTTTGTTTGTGAGAAACAAGGAATAAGCCCATCTCTCCTCTTCCTGGCCCAGAGTGTCTTGGGCCACGAGAAAAAGAGTACCTCCTTAATGGAGACGATTGCCAGGAATAGAATGGCTTCTGAAGGAAGCCTTATTTCTGTTCTAAAATATGGAAAGAGTATGAGGTAAAGAGATCTAGGATAAAGGGGAATTGGTTGAAAACAGTGGGGGTTCCAGAGGACAGAATGGATCAGAAGAGAAGAGAAGGGTATGAACCTTGGGTTCAGGTAGGTTGAGGTAGACAGGGATGAAAGACTAGTAGAGAAAGGATTTCAGCCTAAGCAGTGACTATACCACAAATTGAAGGAGAAGAGAGTTGAGTTTGCCTACATATGGATGAGCAAAGAACTATATGATCAGGGCCCCCCACACAAGTGAATTCAGAGTCATTTCAAGAATAGTAGACCGCTGGTCATTCCCAACTCAGAAGTGCTGGGGGTGGAGGTAGACAGATGGAACAGGATGTTCTGGACTGAAAATTCACAGTAGATTCCAGTTCTGTGGCCTCATCCTAAGATTCTAAGGGCACAGCATTTCAGAGAACAATCCTTATCAATGTAAGCTATTACTGCCAGTAGCATTTTCAGGCTCTCTTCTGAAAAGGGCCCTTAATAATAATTGCTGACACTTACATGATATTTTCTGTACAGTCTCATTTGGTTCTCACAGAAACTCTCTATGGGGGGAAGGGAGATCCTAAAGGAATTATTATCTGCATTTTAGAGGAAAAATTGAAACTGAAAAGGGTTCAAACTAACATCTCTTTAGATTGCAAGGTCACAGCCCTTCTGTATACTAGGTTGACCCTGGAAGCCATTATTTGCCTGCAGTAATTGAACGCCTTATGTTACAGTATACTTGTTGCTGAATGTTGTCTATCCCAGGATTCTGTGCACTTGTCTGCTGGATGCAGCCTGGCGGGACAGCGCCCGCGGGGAATACAGACCTGTCCTGGGTCTCATCTAGCTTGCTCACTTTCCCGCCCATTGCTCCGTACATGGCTTTGCAGAATTACACTGTGTTCTGGGTTCGTTGCATGCCTGGTCGTTCCAAAGACACTCAGTCTTGGAAGCTCCATGGGATGAGTGGCGTGATCTTAGATGCATAAGTTAAAAATTAGGGTTGGGGGGTGGGGGAAAGAGGCGCGAAGAGTTGCCCCAGCAAGAGGGACTGATCTACCAACGCCTACCGAGGCTGTAGGGAGAGGGTGTGGAATAGCAAGTCAAGAAGGGTAAATCAGGAACAGAGGCCATGAATTTGGTTTCCTGTATCCAAAGCATTTCGGGCAGGGCCTCCCCCCACCCCAATTTCACCCCGCCCTACCCTTCCACCTCATAGCACCCATCTTGCCAAAGATAAATGTCTGCCATTTCCCAGGCAGGGTCTATCTAGTTCAAGCTGAGGACTGTGTCCTTTCCTTCCATTCCCCCACCCGGGTACACAGGGGACAATCTAAGAAGCAGTAGTGACCCACCGCACACATTCCCGCTCCCCAGCTTGGTTTAGTCTCTTTCCATCCCGCAGCGTCCCTCTCTCTACCCCGGGGAGTGGGGAACAGACCCTGGTGGGACAGGTTGTTAGGATGGGTCAGGGCGGAATGGGGTGAGGGGAGGGGCAGGGATTGGGGTTGGTGGGAGGGCCCGGCAGGGTGCCCCGTTCCATCCCGTCCCGAATTTTGGCTTACCTTGATGCAGTAGGGCGGCTCTTCGGAGGTGACCAGCATGTACCTGTCTCCATGGCTGGCTGGGTCCCGTGAGCGGAGCTGAGGGAAGGGGGTAAGGGACCACCCGGTGGTTAGCTGGAACCCAGGCTCGGCCACGCCCCTATCAGGGTTGCTCCACGTTGCCCCGGCTGCCGACCCGCGCCTCCCCACCGCCCCCCATGCTCCAAGTCCCGGTAGCTCTTACCTTCAGGAAAATCTCCACCGCGTTCTTCGCTGTATCCAGATAGGTGGTACCCAGCCCGGTGCGCTGGTTCATAGAAGCGGACGTGTCTAGGAGGAACAGCAGGATCGGCATCTTAGCTGCTGAGACCCCGGAGCCCTGCCTGCCTGGCTACGTGCAGAACCAGGGAAGGGGCTCCCTGGGCTGAAGGGGGCACGCGTGGCACGGGACAGGACAGAGAGACCAGGTCTATCCTGAGCTTCTCCTCACCGCACCGTCCACGTTCCCCCAGCCGCCTTCACCCTGCGATCCCTCTCTCCCGGCTGCCGGCACCCCCTTCTCTCTCCTCTCCGCTCTCCGTCGTCCTCTCGGCCGCCGCCACTCCCCCTTCAGCAGTCTCAGCAAGCGCTGCTTCGCAGTGCTCCGACTGCTCTCGGGAGCGCTGCCTCCCGACTGCAAGCAGCCCAACTTCTTACGCGCTCACTTCTGCGGGGCTGGGCGTCACGTGGTCAGGGCCCTTGCCATTGGCTCGCCGGGATTCCAAATTTGCGTATTCAATTATGGGTAGGACAAGGGGGCGGGGCCTCGGGGTTCCAGCCATTCCTAGGGCTGAACACGGCTGGCCAGCCAGGAGCCCTCGGCTGGGGCAGAGCACATGCTCGTAGCTTTCCCTCCCTCCCCGGCTGAGAATCGAAGGGAGGGAGGGCAGGGAAAGAGGAAGGGGTGGTATAGGGGTTCGCCTAATACTTTCTTCTCCCTTCTGACATGAGTTTTCAGAAGGAAGAGTTGGAGGGAGCGAATTGGCCCCAAGCAAATGTGCCCAGCGGGGATTGAGGGGGTGGGGGCTGCAGTCTCCCCCGGGACAAAACTGCATAGGGCCAAGCAGGTCACTAGTTAATATGAGGAAACTTAAGGCCTTTCCTAAGCAAGAGTTCTCTGGCAAGAAACTAACGAGGGGGCTTTGGAATTTCTCTCCCCTTTGTGGGGTGGTTGGCAGAGAGCTGCTGTCAACACAGCATGCAAATTGTACTTACAAAACCCACTTGAAGCACCTCCCCCCCACACCCACCAAAAAAAAAAAAAAGGGACTGGCTCCCCTTTGTCCTGCCTAAATCCTTCAAGGAACTGTGGTTTCATCATCGAGGGTACTCCCTAGGGCGAGCTTAGTAGAAGGCCTTTGAGAGGCCTGGGGTTAGTAGTCATGTTGGGGCTGGGTTTCTCCAAAGCAGTTAGACTCTTTGGGGTTGGACAGGCAGAGTTAAGTAACCCCAGGCCATACCAGAAGCCTCAGCTTCATTTCCATTTGTGCCTGGATTTCTGGCATGCAGTCTCTCTCTCTCTCTCTCTCTCTCTCTCTCTCTCTCTCTCTTCTCTCTCTCACACACACACACACACACACACACACACACACACCCCTCTCCGAGAATCCCTCCTAAAAGTACATTGAAGTGTCTTCATAAGCAATTTTCCAAGACCTCATTATATGTTTCAAGTACTGCTTAATTACTGTTGCATGGTATTTTGACCCCCAGAAGACATTTCCCAAGGAGTTGCCCTGCCCCTCCCCACCATCCATATCCAATCTGTTGCTAACTCCTGTAGATTCTAACTTCCCAAAATCTCTCTTATCCAGCTCCTCCTACCTCCTGACACTGCCACTGCCCTGGTACAGGCCCTCATCACCTCACCCTTGGACTACTGCCATATAGCCTGCCTCAATTCTCTCCCCACTTTAGTCCATCCTTCACTTAGCTATCAAAGTGATCTTCCCAAAGTTCGGGGTCAAATACAAAATCCTCTGTTTGGCTTTAAAAAGTCTTCATAACTTGATCCCTTCCTACCTTTCCAGTCTTCATATACCCCTTCCCTTCACATACTCTGTGCTGTCCATTGTACAAGACACTGCATCTCCAGACTCCAAGCATTTAGACTGGCTGTGCCCCCTGCCTGGAATGCTCTCCCCCCTCAACTCTACCACCTGGCTTCCCTGGCTTCCCTCAGTCCTAGCTAAAATCTCACCTTCTGCAAGAAGCCTCTCCTGGTCCACCTTAATGTTAAGTGCCTTCCCTCTGAGTTTACCTCCAATTTACCTTGTAATATGACTTGCTTGTTAATAGCTCTTTGCATGTTGTATCGCACCTTATATTGTGAGCACCTTGAGAGCAAGGCCTGTTTTTGCCTTTCTTTGTTTCTCCAGCCCTTAGCAAAGTACTTGGTACATAGTAAGTTTAAAACATGTTTGCTGACTTCACTGAAATTCCAGTCTGAAGAAACTAGCTGTGTGAATTTGGACAAGGTCTATTCCCCTTCATCTCTGAAAAATGAGTGTTGGATAAGATGACCTCCAGCTGGAAGGGACCTTGGAGATCATCTTGTCCAACACTTATTTTACCAATGAGGAAGGTAAGGCCCTAAGAGAAGTGACTTGTCCAAAGTCACACAGTTAGTAAATGGCACAACCCAGACTTAAACTTGGATCCAGTACTTTTCCATTAGACCCTTCACATGCAGCCAGTTTTCCTGAGGCTGGTCCCAGAAGTGGACAGATTAGCAAACATTTCTATGCAATACCCTTTACATATAGTAAAGAACAACCCACTGAGGTAGGCATTACAGGTATTAGGAAGGATCTGTGATTTCCTGAAGCATAGAAAGAGCTCCTGGTATGGGAAGTGGTTCCACCAACCCATTTTAGGACTTAGTAGATATGTCCTTAAGGAGCTTCCTGAGGCATAGGAAAGTAAAGTAGCTTGTGTAGGAGGAAGAATCTGAACATAGCACTTCATTCACTAGGCATACTTCCTCTCTGCTAATGTAATATGAACTCCAGCTTTACAGATACAGAAAATGAGGCTTTGAGATAAAGTGACTTGCCCATGGCAGGCCAACTAATTTGAATATTATGGAAGATGTCCTAGGAACCTCATGCCCTCAAATGGCCTGAAATCTAATGTATTAATTGTACACCTAAAGTAAATATGAATACTGAGCTAGCTGCTATAGCCAATTCAAAAAGAGATAACACACGCCCCATTTTTTAAAAAGTGTGCTAGGGGCAGCTAGGTGGTGCAGTGGATAGAGCACTGGCCCTGGAGTCAGGAGGACCTGAGTTCAAATCCAGCCTCAGACACATAACACTCACTAGCTGTGTGACTCTGGGCAAGTCACTTAATCCCAATTGCCTCACAAAAGAAATAAAATAAAAAATAAAAAGTGTGCTAACTTGAATACCTGTCTTCCAGGAGGCTACAGTCATAGAAAAACAGAATCTTTAGAATTGTAAAGGATCTCAGAGGCAATCCAGTCCAAGTCATACCCAAATGCAAATCCCAGCATCATCATCATAATAACAATAATAATGATAATAGCTAACATCTAAATAGCACCACTATGTGCTAGGCTCTATGCTAAGCACTTTACAATTATTATCTCATTTGATCCTCATAGCAATCCTTGGGAGGTAGGTGCTATTATCATTCCCATTTTACAGGTGAGGAAATGGAGGCAAACAGTCAAATGAGTTACCCAAGGTCATGCAGCTATTAAGTATCTGAGGCTGGATTTGAACTCAGATCTTCCTGATTCCAATCTGGGTGTTGTAACCCAACAAGCATACACTTATATTCTGCTTAAAGCCCTCCAGTGAGGGAAAAGTCACCTTATGTGAGGCAGCCCATTACCCTTGTGAATAACTCTAATTGTTAGGAAGCTTTTCCTGTTATCAAGACCCTCTGAACCGTAACCCACCCGGAACCCCCAGCCACCATTGCTCCTGGTTCTGCCCTCTGGGGTCAAAGAGAGCGAGTCTGATCCATCTTCCACCTGAAGGCCCTTAAAATACTTGAAGATAGCCACCAGGTTCCATTCCCCTCCCCTCCCCAACCTTCTTGTCTCCAGGCTATCCCCAGTTCCTTCAACAAATCCTCCTATGTCATGACTCTATTACTCTTCACCATCCTGGTCACTCTCCTCTGGATGGCTCTCCAGCTTATTGCTATTTCCTAAAATGTGGCATTCACAGCTAAACACATGATTCCCAATGTGATCTGACCATTAGATTGTGAGCTCCTTGAAGGGAGGCACTTTGTTTTGCTGCTTTTTGTATTCCCTACATTTATCACAGTGCCTGGTACATAGGAGGTGCTTAATAAATGTGTTTTAACTGATTGACCAGGACAGAGGACAGCAGGATTGTGTCCCCTCTTTTTTTTGTGAGGCAATTGGGGTTAAGTGACTTGCCCAGGGTCACACAGCTAGTGTTATATGTCTGAGGCCACATTTGAACTCAGGTCCTCCTGACTCCAGGGCTGGTGCTCTATCCACTGATTGTGTCCCCTCTTGAATCCTGGAAGTTAGTCCTCTCTTAGCAAAGCCCAAGATCATAAAAGCTTTTTTGAACAAGTCTCCTATGTAAGAAAAATGAAAATGGTGTTGGAGTTGTCTTACAAAGCATGCCATAAGATACTCTATTGCATCATAAAGTCTTCATCCAAAAGAGGGAAACATCACTATGATCTTGGAAAGGTCAAGAAAGGCCTCATTTTCTCTATTCTAATATTCTCACATTCTTTTTATTCTTGGCCAGTCAGTCAAGAAACATTTATTATGCACCTACTATGTGCCAGGCACAGTGCTAGAAGGAGGGACTTCAGAGGGGCCTGAAAGGAAGGCTGGGATTATGACTGACATGGAAAGGAGGAAGAAGGATTTCCCAGCTTTGAGGAAACCATACAAGCAAAAGGACTGAGGCAGGAATAGACATAGTTTGTTTCAGAAAGTGTAGGGGAATAGTAAGAGACCAACTGGCATTTATTTCACACCCTCTGTGTAATCTTGGGCAAGTCACGTAGCTTTAACTTCCCTATCTATAAAATGAGTAGAGGACCTCCGAGACCATTGCCTGCCTGAAATCAGTGATCCCATGGCCTTCTGACTCCACATCCACTGTGCCAAGCTGCCTGGGTACTGCAGAGTACAATATGAGATCTGGTACTGCAGTGTGCTTGCTACCTTCCTTTCCACTAGCCTTCCCACTGCTGTTTTCATTATTATATACTTGACCTTCTGTTCTTCCACATGGGTTTTCTTATTATCTTGTCTGGTTCCACAAAGCAGCCCACTGGTATTGAGTTAAATGTGTAGGTTAATTTGAGTGGGATCATTATTTCCCCCATATTCTCATGCTTTAGCCCTGAACATTGAATACCTTACTATGTATTCCCATAAAAATTGTTTCACAGTTATCTTTACAGAAATCCCACATGGGGCCTGGTAGTCTAACTCCCAGATATTGAATACATTTTGTTATTTTAAATGGCATTTCTCTTTTTATCTATTTTTCCCGGGTTGTATAAGTAACATAGAAATGCTGATTATTTTTGTGGGTTGATTTGGGGTCCTGCTATTTGACATGAGCTCTTTATTATCTCAATTTTGGAGGCTGTTGATACTCTTGAATATAAGTAACAAGATATTAT